ACAAACGCACACATCCGCCGCACCCCCCACCGCCCGGTCTCGCCTCCTTCTCTTCCTCCTCCCTCTCCTCCTCTCACCACCACCAGCCGCGGGTGTAGAGAGAGACAGAGAGAGGGAGGGAGAGAGACGAAGAGAGAGAGAGAGAGAGAGAGAGAGAGCGCCACAGCGACGTGCGACTGACGGTCGAGAGGACACACACACACACACACCGCTGTCGTGGGGTCGTGCTCACCGACTCACAGACTCACAACATTATCCAAGGATCATGGTGATGATGACACGACAGTTGCAACTCCTACAACTCTGCCTCCCCATTGCTTTTCTCCAATAACTACCGAATACGAACAACCAACCTACCCACACTCTGAAGTGTATTTATCACGTTTGCTGCTCTATTTGGATCTAAGATTGGCATAAAAAACGGTGCTCTTCATAATTCCTTAGCTGGATAAAATAAAAAAAAGTGACATGAAGAAGATCGTGATTGTTGCTGTGTCTTTTTCCTTCGCTGTGATTTGAAGATTTCCCCTCACTCATCCCTCGCGCGCGTGTCTCGGACCAGTGAATGTGCTCGTGACGACGAAGAAAATTCTGGGATTATTTCCTCTGTGTGTGCGTGCTTTCTCGGAATTGCTAGATAACGTGTCACGGTCAGGGTGATCCGATCTCGGTTGTCTCTCTCGATTTGTGATTTCTGTAAAGGATCTTTTCCCTGGTATTTATACCCCCACGTTCTTGTAATCAAAACAATGCGGTTTTGACATGTTTTCTTGAAATATTTTTTTTTGCCGCGAAGATGTGACCGAAAATATGCGGCCAAAACTGGTATTTTCATCTCATTCATCACTGTGTTAACGCCCTCTCAGAATCGGATTTTAAGTTAGTCGCAAGGATAAAGAATACGAACGGGTGCTGGTCGACTATTTAAATCCAGCCTGTGCCTGGATCTAGATCTAGATTTAATACTCATCATTCATGCACTGTAATTTCTACAAAATATAAAGAATTGAATCTCCCTCACAAAGACATGCCGTGTACGGTTAGTGTGATTCGTGGATGTAGACAATAAATGTTAGATATATAGCTTTTGTGTTGTTGTATGTTTACCTTAAGTAAATAACAAATTCGAGGGAAAGTTCAATTGTCTACACACGAGTGCTCTTTTACCGAAGAATCGTTTGTTTTTAACCTCACCTCAACCGTGTGGATGATTTCTCAGCACAGAAACCACCCGGCTTTGTTTCTGGGTGGCTAGCCGTTAAATCTATCTCTTCCCTCCTCCACCCCACTCCTCTTGTGGTGCAGATCTACGTCAGTGGATTAAAGTGTACGTGAGTGCAGAAGCGGCTACAGTACGTCAGTCACCATGGTGTACCCACATGAGTGGCTGCTCCAGTCGGCCAGTGTCTTTTGGATATTTACTTTGCTGCTCAGCGAGTCACACAGCAAGCAGTCGCAAATATGTAAGTAAATTCCTAGTTTGTCAAGGACATTAGAAGTGTATAAATTATGACGTGGTCTGTTGTCATCCTTGTCTTATTTATACTCCATCTAGATCTATATCCATGATAATCTCATTTCCATCTTTTAGGTTCATCTGTCTCGTAGGTTTTAATTTAATGTAGATCTATATCTACCTGTTAGAGTGAATTCTCTGTTTATCGCTTATTCACAGTCTGTCTGCCTGCCTACCTGTCTGTCTGTCTGCCTGTCTGCTTGCCTGCTTGCCTGTCTGTCTGGCTATCGGTCTGCTTTTGGGCGCTCGTATAATTATAATATGTTTGCATGTGTGCGCGAGGGCGCGTGTGTTATAGATCTAGAATCTAGTTAGTGTTTTATGGGATTTGGGGACTATAAAATAGTGGATGCAATCTCCGTTGTTACCTGATCTGGTGCTGTTCTCCCCAGCCTTCTTTGTTTCCCTCTCCGTTATATTATCCTCTGATCTCTTTGTTCCTCAGTCTGTTTATCTGCATGTCTGTGTATCGGTCTGCCTGCCTGCCTGCCTGCCTACCTGTCTGTCTGTCTGGTTTTTTTCTCTGTCTGTCTGTCTGTCTGTCTGTCTGTCTGTCTGTCTGTCTGTCTGTCTGTCTAGTAGGCTCTGAGTGCAGGATTAAAAAGAAAATACCCGAAAAGAAAACTGAAAGTCCAAGCTTGAACTAAAATCCCGAGTTACGAATTGAAAGACGATTAGCAGATAATTTACGGTAAATTGTAAAGCGAAACAAACATACTACATAATGATATATTTTCTGTTGTAGGTTGTACGAGGGGTAAGTGTGTTCATTGCGATTCCTTAAGTGTCAGCTGATAGATATAGGTACAGATTGATGGCTTGATTGATAACGTGGTTGATAGCGCGAGTCCCACAGAGAAAGGGATGGTAGATGAAGAGATAACGGGCTGAGAAATAAGTTATAAAAGTGAAGACGGGGATTAGAGTTTGTGGGGGTTATGTGCCAGGGAAGATAGTACTTGAGACTTGAGGGGCATGAAGTAAGAGAAAATGAGAGAGATACGAAGAGGTCGAAAGAGAGAGAGAGAGAGAGAGAGAGAGAGAGAGAGAGAGAGAGAGAGAGAGAGAGAAAAACAGACAGACAGACAGACAGACCAACAGAGAGGGGGGAGGGGGTGATTCATCCACCTTCATTTAGTCGACATTCAATGTTTGTTTTTTGAATAAAAGAACCTACACTCTGTCATTCCTCTTTCAAATTACTCATACCATTGTTAATTTGAGGTGACCGAAAATGCTTTTTTTTTCTCATCCTTCCATCCATCCACATATCTGTCCATCCATCCATCCATCCATCCATCCATCCATCCATCTACCTATCTATCTATCTATCTGTCTATCTATCTATCTATCTA